CCCAAGCTTCTGAACTATGTGCTGAAGAAAACAAAGGCCATCTCGAGACTACGAATTACAGCAGTCAGCCATAAAAACCTTGTGGCAGCTTCCTTGTTTGATCCCCTCGGTGCCAAAGACCTTTATGACTTTGTTCTTGCACCTTTATGACTTTGTTCTTGCTTCTTCACCCGCCTAGTGCCTTCACTGGGGCATGCGCCTCTTTAGCCTTCTCCTTCTGCCCAGGGATCCTTGGGGCTCTGTTCTTGACTCCCAGTGGACTTCTGTGCACCTGGCTGTCTTAGGGACCTCAACCAGCCTGATGTACTGATGACATCTGGCCGTCCCTTTCCATCCAGACCTTTCTGTCTGTCTCTGCCTGCCAGTCTTGCCTTTAACTCCGCCCTCTCAGGACAGAACTATTTCCTGTTCCTCGGAAGCCTTCCTCTCCTCCGCTGCCCTCAACCTATCAGCATCAGCACCGTCTCAGCTGTCAGTGAGGCATGAAGCATTGACTTAATTAATCTGCTGACGAGTCATTTTGCTTCTTACAATTCAGCACAATTTGCCTCTTACATTCTGTTCCCTTGGCTAAAACCAGAGCATGCTCTGGTGATCACCTGCCTTGGCTGCCATAAACTTCTTCTCTGAGGCCTTGTCGTATTTCACCCCTCTCGCCTTGACTCAATATTTTGCTGCCAAAATCCATCTTCTCCTGTTATGTAGACCTTATGACACACCTCTTTAAATGTATATCCTGATTTTTCTTAAAGCTGGCTGCAGATTACTATAGAAGAAAAATTAAGTCTGCACAGGAAATGTACAGTGGACTTAAAAGCTAATTCAGCCTATTTCAGTGAAGCAAACAGCAGTATAGCTCTTGGCAGGCCAATTGGCACAAGGCCCTCCTCCATAGGCTTCCAGTCTCCATCCACCCATCTTTAGAGCTCCCCACAGCTACGCCGCGCTGTGTTTCTTCCCTGGTGCACTGCTCTCTATGCCCATCTGTGGCATCCCCTTCTTCCTCGGCCTGTGGAAGTCTTTCCCACAGTGCCTCCATCTAGTCATTTCTTTCTCCCCCCTTCACAGCATTCTGACTGCCTGAGGTCACAGAAATGGCCCAAGGGAACATGACGACAGCCTGTCCTGGGTGGTTTGAGAGCAAACAGGCTTTGTCCTTCTGCTGTGAAAGGCAGCCTTTGCAGCAGTATCTTGCTGGCTAACTTTGGCAGCAAGAGAGAAAGCGGATAGCTATGAGAAATCTGTCTGTTTGTCCTCCTCGTACACCCAGAGAAGTAGGATGATATGGAACCTAGACCCATTAAATGGAAGACCTGACATTTCTCTGTGGCATCTTGAGATTGGAGATGAAAAATAAGTTGGTACACTTCTGTATTTATTTCAGAACTTTTTAGCCAGATGGGGCATGGCCACAGTTTAGCAGTAGAGCATCTGCGTGGCATATCGATAGTCCTGGGTGCGACCCCAGGCATCTCTAGAATCATAGAGTTGGAAGGGGCCTCCAGGGTCATCTAGTCCAACCCCCTTCACAAGGCAGGACATTCACAAATACGTCCCCCTCCACACCCCCAGTGACTGCTGTTCCACACCCAGAAGATGACAAAAAACCCTCCAGGATCCCTGGCCATACCGGCCTGGAGAAAAATTGCTTCCTGACCCCAAAGTGGCAGTCGGCATTTCCCTGGGTGTCTAAGAAAGGGCCACAAGAACCGAAGCACTGAAGGATCAGCTGGTACAGGGGTGGGCAAGCTTGCTCAGTGTAAGAGCCACATAGAATAAACATCAGATGTTTGAGAGCTGCGGGACATGAATATTACGCACGTTTTTATTTTTAAAATATGCACATTAGCTCTTTATTAGCATTAAATGAGACTGCCAAAAATAAAAAACAAAAGGGGTAAAAACAGATATTGTTAATGATATTTGTTTGTCCAATGATATTTATTTGTGTGTGTGTGAAAGAGAGAGAGAGAGGTGGAAAGAAAGAAGGAAAGAGGTGGAAAGAAAGAGAGAGAGAGAGAGAGAGAGAGAGAGAGAGAGAGAGAGAGAGAGAGAGAGAGAGAGAGAGAAACAAAGAAAGCAAATAGATGGGAAGGGTGGGAAAGCACGCCTCCCCTTCGCTTCCCCAGCTGCCCTGCTGGGAGCCACACAATACGTGTGAAAGAGCCGCATGTGGCTCCCGAGCCACCGTCTGGCCACCCCTGAGCTAGTAGATATTGTGAAAGAGAACGACTGTCAGTCCTAGAAGGCCATGATGACCTTGATGGACAGAGGATGTGGTTATGTATAAGGCGGCTTCACATGTACAGACGGAACCAAGAATCTGCATATTCACTGCTCTTGACACTCGGGGGAAACTTTCCTCCCATTTTTTTCTTCCATGTTTTTGTGCTCTGTATGTGAAAGAATGCAGTTGTTCTGTCTGAGGAGGAGGTCAGGGTTTGTGTAGTTGTGCTGATGGGAAGTTGAGTTGTTATAGCAGTTTACATTCAAAACCCAAGTTGGTTAAAATGAAATGCGCTGGAGCATTTGAGTCCCATCCATGGATTTTTGAAGCTTTGTTGGCGGAAATAGAGCAACGTAAAAAGACCGGTGGGTGTTAGACTGAAACAGGCAAGGACCCTATTTGGCTGGTGGATCCCCTTGCTACAGTGATAGTGGGGATCTGTTGTTATTGTTTAAATTTATAAACCACCCCCACCCCCCGGAGGGCTCAGGGCGCTGTACATCATAAATTAAACATGAACAATTAAAAACAATGAATAGAAAATAATATGCCTTGTTCCATGAATATCCTGTTAACACACTGTGTCAATTTCCACAGAGGATGTAATGCAGACCACCTACTGTGAAAAAGAGTTGGATAAACCAACAAGAGACGCATTTGTATATGCCATCAAAAATCACTACTGGTACCAGATGTACATAGACGACTTGCCAATATGGGGTAAGAAATGTTTCCTTTATAGTGTGAGAGTCCAAACCTGGAGGGCATCCTGCTGTGTGGCCTGCGGCACCTTTTCTCTCCCTGCTTCAGCTTTGTGTCTTCCTCTGCAGCTGTCCAGCTAGGTCTTGCACCCTGCCTCATGCTCTGCTAAGGAAGCAGCTGTGGCGACTGGCATGAGCCCCTTAAGGTGTGAGGAGAAAGATAAGCAGATGTACAGTTTGCACCTGGACAGAAAAATCCAGCAATTCAGGATCAAAAGTTATGGTGAAGATTCCATAGCTAGTTGTTCCCACTTTGGGCAGAAGTGTCCTTGATCTCTAACCATTAAATAGCTGGTGCTGCAGTTCTGAAGTCTAGTTGCACCGGCCACTGCTATATAAGGGTTTGCACTGATGTCATAAAGTCAGGATCCCGTGCTTCCCCCGTTTGCAAAAATGAAAGGCACAGTAACAGCAGAAGCAAGAACTCCAAACCAACAAAAGTCATTCTTGTGTTTGCCAGGTCTCCTGCTATAGCCGGGATACCTCCTGCTGACGGCCCCTAATTCCAGAATAAAACAAAAATCACCACCTCATTGATGGCATAACATTGTTTCCACGGCAAACTGGGAATTGATGTCACACCACTCTAGGGTTCAACAGGAACTCTGTGGCAAAACTTATAGAGTTTCTGCTGAACCCTAGAGAGCTGTAACATCACTTCTGGGTTTGCCCTGGAAACAATGTCATGCCGATGCATTGCATCCCTCTTGCTAGGTGCCAGCAGCTGGCTAACAACCTAATGATAAGGTTACTTGCTAGTAGTACCTTCATATTAGTCATTCATGGAAGGCACCGATCAAAAAGAATATGGACGATGTTGCAGAAGCGATTGCACATTATGTACACAGGCCCCCAGGAGCAGCATACAGTGCTTCCCCCATGTCTTGGTAATCTTAACACAGTGATTAGAAGGGTGTGAGGGGGAAGGAAAAAGGAGTTTTGGGGGGACAAGCTGGTTGAATTGCTAGGTGGGCATGCAGAAAACAGCAAACAAATGGGGAGAAGCATGGGCAGGCAGAGGAAAGAAGAACCTGAACGAGACGGAGGGTGGTAGAGGACGGCTGGGTGGGATAAACAGATTTCCCTGCCACATCCACGAGTTCACATGGGCCCCCTCACTCTGTAATGATATCACTGCTCCTTGGAAATTCTAAAAACTTCTCAGGCAATTTCCTTCCTATTTTTGAAAATTGCTTATGTAGAATATGGGTGACGTTTCAACAGCTGTAGTAAATACCTAGTTTCCCATCCATCTATCTAAGTCATTCTTGCTGTATCACTCTGGATTGGGGATCCGTTCTGTTACAACAGTTGTTCACTCTGGGATTCTAACACTCTAGAACCTCACAGTTATAGGAACAAGGTAGTTCCAGGCAGCCAGTCATATGCTGCTGCCTGCAGTATATAGCCCAAGATCTTCTCCTGTGTTCCTTCACTCTGGCCAACTGATTGTTGGGTGCTTACCACAAAATTTTCCTCCTTTCATGACCATAGTTACTTAAGGATGACAAGTTCCTTCAAAGAATAATCTATTGAAGAAGAACCTGCAGTTTTAGAAAGTGTAGCAGTTGGGAGAAACAAATCACCAGCAGTAGATGGGCTATCAATAGAGCTATCTCAAGCCACAGAATCATAGAATCACAGAGTTCGAAGGGGCCATGCAGGCCATCAAGTCCAACCTTCAGGAGAGCTGATTTCAAAAAACTCAGAGAAATATTAGGTAGGATCCCGTGGAAATGCTGGAAATGCTGAGGGTGAAATCTGCACAGGTAGGATGGGTGATGCTGAAAAATGAAGTGCTTAAGGCACAATTGCAAACTGTCCCAGTAAGAAAGAAAGGTGGGAGACTGGTAATGAAGCCAAGGTGGCTGAACAAGGAACTCTCTGAAGAGCTGAGACTAAAAAGGGAAATGTACAGGAAATGGAAGGAGGGTCAGATTACTGAGGGTGAGTACAAGAAGCAGGCTCGAATCTGTAGGGATGGTGTCAGAAAGGCTAAAGCACAGCTGGAGCTGAGGCTTGTGAGGAATGCTAAAAACAACAAGAAAAATTTCTATGCCGATGTTCGGAGCAAAAAGAACAGGGATGGAGTAAGCTCATAGCTAGGGGAAGATGGTCAAGCCTTAACAAGGGATGAAGACAAAGTGGAATTACTCGACTCTCACTTTGTGTCAGTCTTTAACCGTAAGGCGAGCTGTATGCAAACTGAAGAATGCAGGGCATATGAAGGAAGGAGAAACTGCCAGTCCAGAGTAAGTAAGGAAATGGTTAGAGAGCATCTAGCTGCATTAAATACTTTCAAATCTCCAGGGCCGGATGGCTTGCATCCCAGGGTGCTAAAAGTAATTGCAGATGTTATTTCAGAGCCTCTGGCTGTAATCTTTGATATGTCCTGGAGTACTCCATTATACCCCGTGGGGACTGTCTCCTGCCCAGTCATCGCCGGTTAGTGGTCTTTGCTGGAGCCACAGACCGTTAATATGCTGTCTGATGGTTTGATGTTATGAGGGTGCTGCTAATAGTAACAGTTCTCCCAGTGCTAATAAATCTAGATGATCCTAATAGATTATCAAATCTCAATTAATCTAACAATTTGGTACAGAATTACTCTAGTTCATCTGGTCAGTGAAATAAATAAAGGCCAGTAATAAACCAATTTGTGCTGAAATTCTAACCCCAATTTGTCAGATAAGCCAAATATAAATAAACAAATTCCAACAATAGGATAGTTGGTCCCTAATAATTGACTAATTCCAACCCTAGTAATTAATTGACTAATTAATACAAACAATTTAACCCCTTCAATTAGATACATTACCCCCCCATAAGAACTTACTCAACCAATTAATTACAATGCTAACTTACATTAAATTACATTACATTACATTAAATTAACAATTTAACCCCTTCAATTAATTACATTTCCCCCCCCCCCCCCATAAGAACTTACGCAACCAATTAATTACAATGCTAACTTACAATTGGGAGCTGCGGTGGCTCAAGTGGTTAAGATACTGAACTGCAGGCTGTGGAAGGTCGGGAGTTCAGCAGTTCGAGACCCGAGTTTGCCGCATGATGGAGTGAGCTCCCGTCTCTAGTTCCAGCTCCTGCCAACCTAGCAGTTCGAAAGCAAGACATTGCAAGTGGATAAATAGGTACCGTGTGCCTTGGTGTTTTGTCATGCCGGCCACATGACCATGGAAATGTCTTCGGACAGCGCTGGCTCTTCGGCTTGGAAACGGAGATGAGCACCGCAACCCTAGAGTCGGACTTGACTGGCTTTCAAGCAAGGGAACCTTTACCTTTACTAACTTACAATTAAATAGCAGAATGATATCAAATATAAATTACTTAAGTCTGACAGCCTTCTGACTAGGTAACGGTTAATGTAGAGACCTGGTTGCTGTTTGTAAGTCCTCTGGTCCAGGTTTCACTCCAGTGCAGGAGTCTCCAGGCTTCTATCTGGCATTGCGAGGAGGAGGCGATCACTTTCTTGGGTCCCCGGGGACCTCTAAGAGCCTGGCTTCCCCCAGGTGCTCAGTGAAGCCAGGACTGGATTTCTGTCCTCAGGAGCACTGACAAAGCCTGCAATTGATGTGTAAATGGAAGCAGCAGACTGACAGAATTGCGGGTGACTAGGCTGGCTCCAGGGGGTGTAGGAATCCTCCCCAGGCTCCACAGTTGGCGTTCCCGCTCCTGTGGCCCTATGGCAGGCATAGCTGCGTCGGTGGTGGTCGTGAACAGCAGGAGGCAATGAAGCACGGGGCAGGTGCAGCTGCATCGGTAGCCGGCGACAGCTGTCTTGGACGGGTCTAATATGGCGGCCGCGCCGGATAGACGGAGCTGGTAGTAGCCGGCAGCTGCCACACCCTCGGCTGTTGTCAGCACCATCATCAGGCTGGCCCTGGGCGCTGAGGGGCTGCGTTGCAAGCTCTGCTGGAACCGGGAGAGGAGCAGTGTGTAAGTTTGAATTCTTTGATCTTGCATCCCAGCACAGCGTGTGGAGTGAGTGACTCCCGACGGCCAGGGGACAGCAGCTAACAGAGAATTGCTAGGACTTAGCGGTAAACCTGCGCAGAATCGGAGTGCATGAATGTAAAGCTGCAGGCTGCTATTCCCAAGATACAAAGAGATAATTCCAGATGTAAATGTAGAAAAGGTCCACTCCATTTCTGTGCTGCTGTCTGTGGTGAAACTTCAAAAGCTGGGACCTGTTCTGCGAAGCATAACACTGTGATCCACAACACTACCTGCCCCTGGTCTGTAGTGGCCTTGACCTGTGATGCCACTGCTTCTGTCTCTTGTTCCAGTGTTCAAGGGCTACACAGAAACCGGAGCCTCTCCAGGCAGTTCCCTTCACCTCCCTTGGGAGCCTGGTCACACCTGGAGAACCATTCGGGCTATCTGTGTACAAGGAAGGCCGCAGGAACGTTTCATGTACCCCTGGTATTGTTACCAGTTTTGTGAGTTATCTGGGTGACTGCTGGAGACTTTGAAGAAACAGGAAATAAAGACTGAGCCAAAAAAAAAAAAAGTGTGTCTTATTAAAAAGGTAAAGGTTCCCTTGCTCGAAAGCCAGTCAAATCCGACTCTAGGATTGCGGTGCTCATCTCCGTTTCAAAGCCGAAGAGCCAGCGCTGTCCGAAGATGTTTCCGTGGTCATGTGGCCGGCATGACTAAACACCAAGGCGCATGGAACGCTGTTACCTTCCCACCGAAGTGGTACCTATTTATCTACTAGCCATTTCTTGCTTTCGAACTGCTAGGTTGGCAGGAGCTGGAACTAGAGACGGGAGCTCACTCCGTCATGCGGCACCCGGGTCTCGAACTGCTGAACTACCGACCTTCCACAGCTTGCAGTTTAGCGTCTTAACCACTTGAGCCACCCTTGCACTTGCACATTAGGGATGTGCAAAAGAAATGTTTTTTTACCAATTTGGATCTATTGGACCTGAAAAA